GGGTTTTAGGGGTTTAGGGCTAGGGGTTTAGGGTTTAGGGGATTAGGGGTTTAGGGTTTAGGGTTCAAGACCACGGAACCCTAAACTCAAACCCCTGACAACCTTGACGCCCGAACCCCCCCGCCCCCCACCCCTCAACCCCCGAATCTAGGAGGGTTAATAACCAGATTAGGCTTTGAGGATTTAGGGTTTAGGGTTAGGAGCGTTAACAATCAGATTAGGTTTTTGAGGGTATATGATTAGAAGGAAGCCTGCCGAACAGTGTCCACAAGCATTCAGGCTATGCCAAGGTCTTGAGTCTTGGAACCCTAAACCCTTAAGCTCTAAACCCTAAGCCTAGCACCCCCCAGCCCTAAACCCTAAAGCTCCAATTTATTAAGCTCCGAACCCTAACACCCCCTTAACCCGAGCCTCCACCCGGCGTAGAAGGCTCCATGTGGGCCACGCAGACTGCATTTGCTCGAAGACCGTGGCATTTCGGCCGACCTCGTCATGTTCTGAAAGAGTTTCCCGTGGAAAGTCTACAAGGGTTCTATGAGGGTTTAGGGTTTAGGGTTTAGGGGGTTTGAAGCTCAAATGGTTTCAAGGGCTTTCTATTGTCAGATTGTTTCGCGTCGCCTGAATCAAGGTGTCGTCTGGGGTCGAGGTTGGTGTGATAGGCTTGAGTTTACGTGGTATCTTTCTGTTTCAACCTGGCTCATTCTTTTCGCTGTGCGTTACGACTGCTGTTGGTGAGGGCTGCGGAAAGAAGGCTGAATTCCAATGGATCAGTCTTCCGCAAACAGGAGTATTTTCAGTGACAGCTGTTCGTACTGCTTCCTTTTTTGCCACATCGTTATGGGATGATTAGATTCCATTGGGGCCTTCGAACCTTTGCACACCACAGGAACAAATCCTCATGCTCCTAATGCACGCTCCCGTTAAGGAACAACAATGTAGCGAAATTGTCGTATCAATCTCTCTCTTGAGCTCACAACTTCGAAGCTCCTACTGTCAAGCTTTGAGCACCGATCGAGCGCGGCCCGCGGCTACAGTTTGGAGATTGAGATCGCAGCAGCTACCCAGAGACTTCCCCCCTGAATTAGAACTATAAAAATAACAAGAAGAAAAGACCAAGGACCCTGTGATGATTTAAGGTATAGTCTTTCATTATTTAAGGGATTTTGGAGTCTCCGGGTAGTCGAGCTCGATATGTTAAACCCTCGACAGGTTTGATTTTGCAAGTTCGAAGCTTGACGCCACCTCACTTGCACATGCCAACATGCCCAATTCCTCGACTTCCATCAGCCTTCGAACCTTCAAAGCTTGGTTTAGGGTTTAGGGCTTAGGGTTTAGGGTTTAGGGTTTAGGACTTCAATCCTTCGTACTTTCTTGCGCGATCGAACCTTCGACCTCGAAGGCCCGCGCTCGGGTTTAGGACTTAGGGTTTATTGCTTCCCGGGCCTACATGGGTAGTTCTCTAAAGTCGGGTCCCTTTTTAGGTCCCCAAGATAGAGCGGCAGTGTCCTTGTAGAAACCCTTGTAGAAAGCCTGTAGAAACCCTTCTAGATCCCTTTAAGGAACCCTAAAAAGGGAGCCCCAAAATTTGGAGAGCTACCCTGAACCCTAAACCCAAACCCCTAAACGCTAACCCCTAAACCCTAAACCACTAACGCCCTAAATCCTAAACCCTAAATCCTAAACCCACATGAAACACCCTAAGCTTTCGGCCGCACAGCGATCGAGCTGCGCCTCGCCGAGGGCAAGAAGGTCTTTTGCCGCCTGCAGTGGCTTCACAAAATCAGGGTTTAGGGTTTAGGGTGTAGGGGTTTAGTTTAGGGTTTAGGGATTTAGGGGCTAGGGTTTTGGGGGGTTCGGAGTTAGGGTTTAGGGTTTAGGGTTTAGGGGTCTAGGGGCTAGGGTTTAGGTCCGCTCAGATTGTAAAAAACTCCTTAGTTAAGGAATCTACCTCGAATCAGTCTTAGGGCTCCTATTATATAGCTTCAGGCATAGATTCCTTAATCCAGGGGTCTGTGGGAGTCTCTGGTTGTTTCTTGGTTCAGGGGTGCAGGGGTACGTTTTCTACTCTCACGGCAGGCCCTGGCAGTCGCTGCCCCCGAGCCTCGAGCCCGAACGTCGGCACACCGCAAGCCCTGACGCCTAAACCCTAAACCCTAAACCCCTAAACCCCTGGACCGTAAACCCTAAACCCCTAAACCCTAAACCCCTAAACCCTAAACCCCTAAACCCTAAACCCCTAAACCCCTAAAGCCCTAATTCCCTAAACCCCTAAACCCTAAACCAGGACCCCAGCGCGCGTGGTCAGGCCTGATCCCTCCAGCCTCAACAACGAACAACTCTTAACCTCAGTTTCAACACTCCTGCGAGTTGCCGAAAATTAAGGGGTACCCTCTTTTGGGGTCCGTTTTAATAAGGATCCTACTATTTGGGGTACTATATTGGGGTCCCCTATTTTCGGAAACCCGCTCCTAAACCCTGAATCATGAATCCTCGACCCGAATGTCCACAACCCAGTAGAGCGCTTGCAGAACCCTCGAAACCCCCCTTCAAGAGCACTAAACTCTTCAACTCCAGAACAATGAGGCCCTAAAGTTGATAAAGAAAGCCAAAGAACCCTTATACTGCTCTTCAAGATTCCTATATAGACTCGTAGAACCGAAACCCCAAACCCAAAACCCTAAACCCAAAACTCTACACCCGAAACCCCTAAAACCCGTAAACCCTAAAACTCTAAATCCCTAAACCTGTAAACCCTAACCCCTACCTGAAAAGCCTGGTGGCCTGTTTTATCCGGCTACTTTTGGAAGTGGCTCTGCTGGGTCGTTACTTGCTTGTTTCAGCTGCTCAGAAATCATCACGACCTGTAAGATTGCAAAATACCTTGAGTGAACCGTGTCAAGGCAATAGGTGAGGCAATTATCGAACTCGGGTCTTCGGAAACGTAACCCCAAATGTAAAACCCCGGGCCTCCGCATGTCCGCTTCGTTATGATCATCGTTGCTGCCGCTACAGTCCGCGACTCAACGTCAGAGCTACGGCTTTGAAGCACGTCATTTTGAGCAATCCGGCAACACAGCTCTCCAGGTCGTGACCTTCCTGAAGATTACTTCCCGCTCCTTTGGAGGCAGGAAGCTACCATCTTGATGCAAGGTTTAATTTGTACTTTTGGAGCACCCGACTGTTTACAGATCGAGCATGCTGCTTGCGCACGATAGCACTGATCTTTCCGACAAAGTCCTCGTCTTGCTGGCAGCTGAAGCTGAGTACATTTAGTACCCGACCCTTCCGACCAACCTTCTCTGCATCGTCATAAAGCTGGTGTGTGATATGTGCGAACATATGCCACTTTGGTTGGAATTTAAATCTGGGTAGGGACATGTTGAAGCTCAAGGTAGCAGCAGTGGCATATCCTTTCAAGAAATGCATTCCAAACTTGCATGCTTCGTGGGCAGATGTGTAATCCATCCATAGGTCCGCATTGTACAGTATGTCGAGAAATTTGTTTGCGGCACCCATAGCAAGCAAGACAGCATCCAGAAGCTCGGAGTCATGATCAGCAAGGGTGCGCTCGTACTTGTACTGCAAGAACCTCATGAACGTCGTCGTGTCCGCGCCCTTGAACCAATTCCTCCGCTGTCCGAAATACACATGCACCAAAACATGTAACGATGGCTGTGGGGCTTACAGTACATGGGGGAGCGAAAACTTACAGCCAAGAAACCCTTGGGGAAACTCTGCCGATGTCTGAACTCCCAGCAGCTTTTTGTTGAGGTGAACCATATGGAGGCCCAGACCATTAGCCTTCGCAAACCGTGACAGCTCCTCGTACAAGGTGTTGCAGAACTTGTCCATGCCCATCTCACCGTAAAAACCCAAGTCGCGCAAAAGAACCTGAAAAGTTTGGGGATTGGAGCGTACATAAACCGAACGATTTGAAAGTCATTTGATAAAACTGTCGGATTGCGGCTGAGCAACCGCTGCTGAGGAAACGAGATCCGAGAAGCATCCCTTGTGGCAGGTATGGAAGATGTCGATTTTGAACCACTTCTCGGGGCAATCCGGGCTCATCACCAAAGGTAGCATTTTGGGTGGTCGATTCGCATTCCAAGGTAGCGGCGGGGGTTCAGTGTCCGCATACCATCTTGCCGTGGCACCAAATTCACTAAAACTGAAGCCTGGCATCCCAGCTTTGCAAAGGTGGCAAATACCTTTCGTGTTGTTACCCACACCACGAGCAACATGCCCGAAGTGCCGCGTGAGCGACCCGCACTGTACCAGTGCGGGCCAGTCGCCCTTGCATGCGATCATAACCAAATATACCTGAGTGGGGCGGTTGTCGATTTGCACTCTGACTCCGGAATTGAACGTCTCCAAAAGGTCGCGAGTCCAGCTATTGAACAGGCTTTGGAGGACAGCTCCTTTAGTCTTGCCCTTGTAGGCTTTGGCCGCGATAGTTGTGTAAAGTAGGCGGGTCAAATAGGTGGAGCCCATAAAATTGAGCCCCGTTCCACGCTTCGAGCCCATACCCATCACAGGATGTATCTGCAATATCAGCACAGCCTTTTTCTTCATTCCAGTTCCTTCGTCTGTATGTAGCATGCATGGCACACAAGAGCCGAGCCTGTCATGATGGGTTTCGAAGATTTGGTGCTTCTCATGGAAAACTCGGTACTGGTTCCAAAACCGCTCGTAATCTTGCGAGCGGTGCCCATGGAGTACACAATCCATTTTCTTGCAAGCAGACAATGTGTTCAGCACATCACCAATCCTCAACACTGGATGTGTGGTTTTGTCAGGAAGCCGAATATGGGACACCGGGATTGGCGCTTGTAAACGGTAAGCTTCGAAGATGCGTTCAGCTCTGCTTTGGTGGCCGGTCTTGTGTAGCCGGGACAGTGCCTCTAGAAACGAAGCACTCGCAACATCGTCTTGTTTCTGTACCCCACGGAGCTCTTCTCGAAAGCCGTGAGCTAGATTGCAAACTTGATTGTCTGAAGCCTGGACTGAGTTAGTTGACAAGCGAAATAGTATGAAGACCCAACACGTGTCCCATCGCATCAAAGCAACTCCATCTGCAGCGGCTCGTGCAATCGCTTTGGCCGCAGGCCCTGGCTCACCAGCACCTGCGCGGGCGGAGGCGCACACGATTAAATTATACTTTAGTTCGGAAGCCTGCAGCACATGTAGCAGACAAAAAGTGGCAGGAATATGATTCCTTGTTTTCGCGGTCAGGAGCACAACAGCCTGTGGCTAGTCACTGCTGAAGCCTGCAATCCGCCCCATTGAAGCGTGGCAAAACAGCAGTGTTCCAAACATTGAGTGCTATCGTTCTGAGCACTAGTAACATTCTAGCATACACTTGTGCGTGCTGGGTCATAGCAAATCTAGCAGCAACCCAAGCTTTGTCTCGATACGACCAGGTGCGGCTGCATCATCAGCCGGACGATCTTCGCCAGGCTGGCCTGATACTGATCGACCCATTCAAAGCTTCAGGAAGCAACTAGGAAACTTCAGCAAGTTGGGAGCCTTCACTTGGACTGCCGTTTCCTGTTCGGCTTGGCCTTCGCTTTGGGATTGCCGGTGGATGGAGGCGGGTTCTTTGCCTCCTTCGGTTTCTCAGCCTCTTCCTTTCTGACGGGCTTTAGCATGGTCCTCGGCACAACAAGTAGTTAAATCGTCTTGGGCTATTCATCGTGCGCATCATGGTTACCCGAGCTGTGCACTTCTTGAGCTTGTTCTGCTCGAGCAAGCACCTGGAGCACCTGGTTTGCGTTGTGTTTCATGAATTGCAGTGTCATTCTATAGAGAGGCTCCGTCCTCTTCTCCAAGTCTTTGATCGCAGCGGTCATCTTGTCGCGTCCCCTGGAGTCAGTTCTATCTGTGGAATTGCACAAATCCAAGCAATCAGGAGAATGATATATTCAGAGAGCCGGGGCACTTTTCATCCATGGACTTGTGTCCATCCCAGTGGGCTTTCATGTCTGCGATGACATCGTGTGCTTTGCTCAGATCAGCAATATGCTTCCGAAGATCCTTTTCTGCCCTGAGTTGAGGAGCAACTAACTGGAATGCTAGGTTTTTTCACTCACAACCCTTCCTCTCTCTCTCTCTCTCTCT